CCGGTACCCGCCAAAAGTACCTGTCGTACCCGCCAGGCAGTGGCAGGTGCGGTACTTGGTACCTATTTTCTTGAAAAATTGAACAGGTACCCAAGTACAAACAAATGATCTCTAGTAGAAACAGATTTTGTATACCAGTTAAATCTGGAATTGGAAATGGGGATTCATGTTGAGTTTAAACTTGGACATTATGCATTTAATGGTTTATTCAATTCATTTTAGTTTGAACTTGTGTCATCCTCAAGCCTCTGTTTTTCAGTTTTGAACTTCATCAATCGATCATATTCCCCTTCTTTCCCCTTCCTTTGACTATTCGCCAATCTCTTATCCGAATCAAAAATCAACCCTAGGTCAACAAAATTTTGTTTGCTGATCAATCAAATCGAAAACTGATTTTATTCATCATTCATTTCAAGCACTCAGGAGGAGCTAGAATCAGCTTCTGGGCAGGTAGTTGACTTCAGTTGTTCTTCCTCGCTTGTAATTAAAATATTGACCATTTTTATTCTTCACTTTCTCTAGGCTGTATTTGCTAAACATTCCTGTGTGTGTTAAGAAATTTTGTTAATATTTTGTTATATTCTGATCTCATCTATCAGGTATTTATTGATTGGTATATTTCATTTATTTTTATTCTGTTATTTATTTCTAACACTGTTTTCTACTTTGTGAAAGTCTATTACTTCTATTGAGTTTCTTATCAAGACTGTTTCAAGAAAGCTATTGATTTTACCATTTTTACAATTCAATTTCATTTTATACTATTAAGAAACCAAAACTCCATATTGTCTTTCTCAAGAAGCAATGGTGAGCCAGCTATGCCAACAATAGTGTTTGTGTGGTGTAGTGTAGCAAAAAAAAAACTAAATTTTAGTGTAGTGTTAGTGAAATTCCACAATTCTGTGCTAACACTACCCACACAGGGTGCAAAAATGTGCAGCATACATAGCTTTAGCACAATTCCACATATCTGCACTAGCACTATGCACACAGGGCACAAAAAATTGTCTGATACACTGTGTCACAGCAATTTGTAGTGAATTTTTGGCCTTTTTTGCTTTTAAAAGCACTCTAACATAGCAGCATTGGTGGTGCACTAACACTACACAAAAGATTGCCAGTGTTAGCAATGCTACAAAGCAGCACGGCAGCAGTAGTGGCACACTAACACTACACAAAAAAGGGCCACTGTAAAAAGCTTGTACACTTTTTGCTCCCACTTTCTTTTTTTGGTTTTATCTTGACATTGGTCAGATAATGCCAGAATTCAAGACCACCCTTGGAGCCATCATTTTCCAGTAGGTGGTCTTAGAGTAGATTAAATACAAATTGAACTTCAGATTCTGAACCAGAGCTGCTTGTACACCCTACCACCCTCCTCCACAACCTATTGGTGGCTCCCCTTTGCTCCAACGGACGGTCTATCCAAGCACTGGGTCATTACACAAGCTGAGAGGGTACTTGTAAGTTGTGGGATATATTATCTGAGTGCAAAACAAATTTCATTTAGTTAAAGTAAAAAACATAAATCCATCCAAAATGGAGTCTGATCCAAGGTTTTTGGGAAGGATAATGGAAGACTTCCCATTGGATTCGGGACCCTGGCAGATGTCAAATTAGACCCAAAAAGTCTAGAATTTTGCTGAGAAATCTAGCTTTTTAGGCTCTGAATTGCTTCTAGGAGATCGACAGATGTTGATGGGAAGTTGTCCAATAATACAAGGGTCTTGGAAAAATGAATCCTAAAAATTAGTCAACGACTCCCATTACTGCCTGCGGAGGTTGTGGTGAGACCAATCACATACATATCACGTAAATTGGAAACATAACTTGACACAAATATTAATTACACACCAAAGATAAAGAGTTTACAACATAAGATAATCTACACAATTATTTTCTTCTTAAATCATAGTCAATTTTATCATCATTAGTCATAAAATATTTAATTCCATACATATAATAAATATATTCAGATAACATACAGAAATGGCTAAGAAAATACCATTTACCCTCTTAGAGTAAAGAAACAAGATATTGATCAGAAAGTACCTTACAGACTAGATCTAGAAAATAGCTCTTATACTAGTTAGTCCTAGAATACCCATCTCATAGTAATTAATCTAAGAATAGGCATCTTATAGAAGAATTACAACCTCTTGTATTAGAAGGGCACTTAGAGATTAATTCATATCAGATTAGCCCATCTCAGAGTAGTAAAATCCACTCTAGAATTACCTTTCTCAGACGCACTTGTGTTCAGGCCAAAATCTCATGTACTGCAGAACCATTTGTCTATAAATAGAGGCTCTTCTGGCTCAGGTTTTCCTCTTCCCTCCTCATGTTTGCACCAGAGAAGTAATTAGAGATATTACTTAGCACTCATCAAAACCAGATGCTAGCTACAGAATAAAGTTTGGCCATAGAAAAGTAATTCTGAAATATTGCTTAGCCATTCTAACCTCTTTGAAAGATATTAGAGAAATAAGTGTACCATTTATCAGAGCCCAGAGAAACCAGAGAGTCTTATAAGATCAGAGAACCAGAGAGAATTTATAACAGATTTAACAGAGACACCCTTCAGAAACCCTTATTACTCAGAAAGCCCCACGAACTCCTTACCTCCTCAACAGGTATTCTTAAGCAACAAGAACAGTAGTATCAACACTAAGACAAATTTAGAAATAAGCCACACTATTATTTTTTTTCTTAGTGTAACTTTCCTGCAAGCCAGACAGGAGGGCAGTCTCACCCACACACCAATACTAATTCTACTATTCCATAGCCTTATTAGCTATTTTATCCCCTCCAAGCTCTTTACTCACTTGCTGAGCAGTTCCACAATGTCCAAAGGGAGTTATTTTTCTAATTTGAGGGCGTAAAAAGGGAGTTGTTTCTCCAATTTCCCAATAAATGTTTATTATTATTTTTCTGAAAATATGGGAGTTGTCTGTCTAAAAAGACCCTTAACTTTGGGATCTTTGGGAGTCATTGTCATCTACTGCCCACACCAAGATGGAAAAAGCACAGCTTTTGATATCAAGCCCCAAAGGCACCATATCAATGAAAAAAATGATGACATTCATTGAAAAAAAATACAGAAAGAAAGAAAGAGGAAAAAAGAAGCGATAAAGGCAGGAACCATAAAAGGGACAATGAAAGGAAAAAAGGGTTCAAATTGGATGATAAAAAAGAAATCCTTCATTCAAAATAAAAAAAGGAAGGATTGGATAAAAAACAGAATGAAAGAAACAAAAGGCAGAATAAAAATATTAAGCAAACCTAGTATTGACTCTTTTGTTTCTTTTATTCTGTCTTTTTTCATTCAATCATTTCTTTTGTTCTTTTGGATGGTGGTTTTCTTAATCACTATCCAATTTGAACCCTTTCTTCCTTTTACCATCTGTCTTACGGTTTTCTGCCTTTATCCCTTGTTTTTCCTCTTTTGTTCTTTCTGTATTTTCTTTTTCAATAAATGTCATCATTTTTTTCATTGATATGCTGCCTCTGGGGCATGATAGTGAAAGCTGTGCCTTTTTCATCTTTGTGGGCAGTAGATGCCGATAACTCCCAAAGCTCCCAAAGTTAAGGGTCTTTTTAGACAGACAACTCCCATATGTTTAGTACAAAATAATAATAATTTATTGGGAAATTGGAGTGACGACTCCCTTTTTCCGCCCTCAAATTAGAAAAACAACTCCTGTTGGACATCCAAAGGTGGTAATGCCAATGGGAGCCGTTGACTAATTTTTAGTAGTTTTCCCAAGCCCCTAAAACAATTTATCAAGAATAAATTTATGTTATGAGGAGGGGCCTTCACCAATCATGTTTGTCTACATTTTCTGTTGGTGATTTTTATTTTGACATCCTATTCTGATTGAAGAACTCAAAACATGTTAGATTTACCCAGTATCTGTGAGCAAGTGATTATGAACCCTCCTGCCCCTATATGAGGAGGAGAGGGGGTCAAACCAACGGTGCCACAGATACGATACACTGTGTGTATCATGGAGAATTCTGCAAAGCTGCATGGCCAAAAACCAAATATCTTGAATCTCCTTGCAAATAAAAGCAGATTGGTCAGATAGTTTTTTTTATTGGGGCTCAGATCCATAGTGATACATGGCAGATACATGGCAGATACCGTATCTGTTTCAGCGTTGGTCGAACGCCCCTCGTGGAGTCACAATTGAATAAACGGCTACCGGCCGCCTTTACCTGGCTGGACCAGCACAGGACGAAGGATAAGCGGTCAGCAGGACGGCAGTCTGTCGTTGCGTGTCGTTGGTTTGAATTGGGGATTCAACTGTGCTGAACTCCGGAATTAGCAAGTTTAAAGCGTTTCCTCCCTTCAGGACCAACCCCAAACGGTTCCAGCCAGAAAGAGCTTTTGTTCTTTCCAGGACCAGCCGGTGACAGAGGGAAGGGAGAACTCCTTTTCCTATTACAATGATCGATTGATTGCATGAGTAAGAAATCTCCTCTTCCCTGCAGATCAACTGATCGTAAAGACAGGAAGATCCGCGTCAGAAGAAGCGAGCTCCGCGTCACTCCAGACCAGCCGGTTTCAGAGGAACGAGCAAGTCGTTTCTCTTCCCCAGCACTGAGTGGATGCTGGGGGAAGAGTGAGGAATCATCCTCTGAGGTTGCAGTAACATCTCATCCAGTAAAAACAGCGATGTGAAAAGGAGCCAGGAACTCGAAGGGAAGTTGATAGTGTGCGCTCTTCCAAGCTGCCCGCGAGCACCTCAGAAGAAATCTATGTCGTGCCACGCATCACCCAACCCAGATTTTAGGTAAGGGCCCAGCAGTGGCATAGATGCAGTCTAGTGGGGACGTTTCGCCCCAACCAACAGTCCATTGTTTGCATTTCCCCTAGGGGAATCGGCTGGGGGATGATTGAAGGGACGTTTGTATAAATTGACTGCCTTCGTGGTGAAAGATTCAGCAGGGATCGTTTTCTTCGTTGCGTTTTCCATAGAGTTCCGGAATCCTACAAAATGGCAGCGAAAGAGAATGACACTCAACCTCAAAAAGTTCTAATCACAGGTATTGTGAGTAAAAAATTTGCTTCAAGACATAACAGCTCACTGATTTCATGAATCCGTATTAATATATAGAGTGGTTTTGTTGGAGCCCATGTTGCTAAAAGCTTTCTGGATCATGGCTGGGAAGTGATTGGTACGGTAAGATCAGCTCAGAAAGGAAACGGCCTACTCGCTTTACCAGCCTTTTCACAATCTGCAAAGGAAGGAAAAATAAAATTCACAGTTGTTGAAGACATCAGCAAGGCCGACTTCAATCAAGTCTTGAAGGGTGTTGATGCTCTTGCGCATACCGCTAGCCCTTTTCATTTCGATGGCAAAACATTTTCCGACTATGGTACGGGAATATATTTCAGCTACATTCATCACCTCTATGTCAAGTATATCTCAGTCTAAGATTTTTTTTTTCCTTATGATTTCCAGCTGATCCAGCGATTGAGGGAACTCTGAACATACTCAAGGCTGCTCAAGCTTCTCCTCAAATCAAGGCGGTCGTTGTCACTTCCTCTTTTGTTTCGGTAGTCGATCACACTCTGCCACCCGAAAAGCAAGGCGGAAAAGTCTATTCCGAGGCCGACTGGCTGCCCATCACTTATGAGGCTGCTGATGCAAGTTCGGATTCCGCCCTTTGGTATTGCGCTTCTAAGAAGCTGGCAGAAGAAGCCGGTACGCCTTCACTCAATGCTATTTATTTCCTGCTCCACAACATATTGTTAAAATTTGATTGGAAATTCAAATCAAACACAACCTGATTTGTTTGTATTCTTGTTATAGCGTGGGCAATCAAAAAAGAAGGTGCGAATTGGACCTTGGCTACCATTTGTCCGCCAATGATTTTTGGTCCAGTTGTAAGTTTAATATTTTTGAGGTCGCAATCGGGATATCACTCTAAATGGCTTTTTCATAAATTGTACGCAACCTAGATTCACACCGGAAACTTGTTGGGCCTCAACGAATCTTCGCGTCAACTTTACGACTTGTTCTCCGGAAAGACGGGAGGCGAAGTACCGCCTACGCGATTCCCATGTCTCTCCGATGTGCGTGATGTGGCTGAGGCTCATTACCAAGCTATTTCCCGGATGGCAACTGGAAGATTCATTGTGGCATCAGGGGTTTACGACAACCAGCGCATCGTCGATACGATACGAAAGAGCTTTCCCGCAGCCTCCGATCAGGTTCCTAATGGACGACCAGGAAAGCATTATCGCCCAGAAGAAGTGTATGCTCTCGATTCAAGCAAGGCGAAGAGGGAGCTTGGTATCAGAATCAGGCAGTTCGATGAAATCATTGTGGATACTGTCCAAAACTATATCGACCTTGGAGCTCAAACTTAGATGGAATGACAATTTTTGTCAAGCTTGAGCACGTTGAGTGCTGGCTTGCCTCATCATTACTTGGCAACAAAAACATCCAAGTTTTGCAAAGTGTGGAAATAAAATTTTGCAAGGAGATAAAAATAAGTCTGGATATTAATCAAGCAAAATATACAAATATAAGTGGGGTGTGTCTATAGTTCAGCATTTATTCTTTAGGGTTTTTTTTGATGGGCCAGCAGCAGTTGTAAAATGAAGCAGGCCGGGGAATAACTTGACAAACTAGTATACAAAATGATGCTTTCCTCTCAAAGAAAGTCCGGTATAAAAGGGTTGGAAAAATCTGATTAGGGGTGAAACTAGAAGAAATATATGTATAAGGCAAGGATACAAATGGAAGACAATGCTATAAGTGGAGTCTTATTCCGCGATTTGGAAGTGTAGAGGGACTGGGCTCGGGGGATGGCTTGATGGTCGGTTATTCCTTTTCCCCATCTTCTTGAGGGCACGTGCGATTCCGATTAGCATGCTGGGAGTTCTGGCCGGGTGAAGGGTGACTAGAATGACCTAACGACTGCTTCCAAGTAAAGGGTGTTGGGATGTTGGAGTAGTTTACAATGAGGCATCACTCTCAGGAGTAGAAAAACCGCTCATAACTTCAAAAGCAACCAAAATCAGATAAAATGAGTATCATGTTCTAGGGCGGGTATGGCTTCGATGTTTGTTCGAAGAAGAAAGACTTACAGTCGCCTTCTGCAGCCTTTGCTCTGCGAGTAGCGGCAGCGTCTTCCTCCATCATTTTGAACAGTTGAGAGAGGATGTATTTGGGATCCGGCTTGCCGTGGGGCCCTAACTTGACCGAAGCTTCTCTCTTGTCGGATTGATTCAGATCACCTGGCTGCGAGGTTTGAGTGGATGTACTCTGAGCAGGCGGGGCGCGGTGAGGCAAGAATTGTTTGGGGCGTGAAGCGGGAATGGTGGGACTGCTCCGAGGAGATGAAAAGCCGCTCATAACTTCAAAATCAATCAAGGTCAACTCAAGTCAGTTACTTGTTGCAGTCCGTTTGTATCTTCAACATTCTGCTCGACAAATATAGACTTACAATCGTCGTCGACAGCCTGAACTCCCTGGGAAGCTGAGGGAGAGTCTTCCTCCATCATTTTCAACCGTTCAGAGAGGACACGTTGGGCGTCTGGGGCTTTCTCCTTGCTTCGAGTGGGTTTACTCAGAGCAGGAGGGGTCGTTTGTTCACCGAGTCCAGTTAAGAATTGTTTTGGACGTAAAGCGGGAAAGGGGGAACTGCTTAGAGGGGAAGAAAAGTCGTCCATAACTTCAAATTCAATCAAAATTAAATTAAATCAGTGACATGTTGCATTGCAGTTGTATCTCCAACATTTTGCTAAAAAAAACTTACAATCGTCATCCACGGCTTCAACGCCCTGAGGAGCCGCGGGAGCGTCTTCCTGCATCATTTTCAACCGTTCAGAGAGGAGTCGTTTGGCGTCTTGCGCCGAATTTGCCTCAGCTTTCGCCTTGCCTAATTGGTTCTGACTAACATTTGCAGCGGGGCGAGTGGGTGTGATCTGAGCAGGAGGGGTAGTTTTTTCACCGTGGTCGATGAAGGACTTCTGTGAAGGAGAAGCGGGCAAGGAGGGATCACTCTCGGGAGTGGAAAACCCGCTCATGACTGCAAAGTTAATCAAAATCAGATCAAATGAGCAACATATTGCAGCGCATTTGGCTAGCCAGTAAGTTGCTCGAAAAACATCACTTACAATCTTCTTCCGCATTCTTGGCCTTGAGGGCGACAGCAGCAGCAGCGTCTTCCTGCATCATTCTGAATAGTTGGGATAAAATATATTTGGGATCTGGCTTGCCGTCCGGCGTGAGCTTTATCACAACTTTCTGCATGTCTGATTGATGCTGATCAACATGTTGTGAGGTCTGAGTGGATGCACTCTGGGCAGGAGGAGTAGTTTGACGAGCGTTCTGAGGGAAGGACTGTTGGAAAGGTGATGCGGGGAATGGAATGGAACTCCGAGGAGGCGACAATTCTATAAGATCAATGCATAAAAATTCGAATGAGCTGCATGTTGACGCGTGGTTATGGCAATGGAATCAAGTTGGAAAAAAAAATAAACTGACCCTGACTCTGGGTCTCACCGTCCGAAGAATTGGCTTCTGCAATAGTCTCAAGTTTAGGTCTTGCGGGATCGGAAAACCAGTCCGCTCGCTGATTGTTTCTTCGAGACAACAATCGTCTTTTCTTGGGGGGACTGTCGATTCGAGCGGCGGGCTGAGAAGGAGAAGGTGGGGGGCTCGCGAAGACGGATGCAGGTACGGAAAAGGAGTCCGATACATTCCATTGTTGCTGGGCGTCCTTCAATCCAGGAAAGCTGTCAGGATAGATGACCAGCTAGATGATGTCGTTCAAAGGGTTAGTTAGACGGCCAGGCACTTCAATCAAGAGTTGAAGAGAGGGAACTTACTGCACTGCTTCGCCTTTTGTGAGTTCCAGTTGCTGGAGCGGTGATCTGAGCAGGGGCACTGCTCTCTTCTGGAATGGCAGCCAGAGGAAGAGGCGCGCCAGAACGTGAGGTTCCGCGTATGCCGGACGCGTTGTTGCTTGCGGTGGCATCAGGTCCTACTGCTAATTTCAGGGCTTCTTGTCGATGAGCTGCTGTCCAGCTTCTGGTTTCGATTGGAGAACGCGTGATAGGTTTTCGAGGGGGGGATTTCTTGCGCAGTCCCGAAACTGCTCTGGAGGTGCCCATGCTCACGGCGGAGTGGACGGGCACGGGTGGCGATGTTTCTTGGGGAACTAGTTCCATGCTTGGATTCGATCCACCTTGAACAGGTCTTGGGTCGCAAACAAAAGTCTCTTGTGAGGAAACCATGATGCCGGATGATGCTAGGCTATCAACACTGGAATGGGTTTTGAGGGAGGCCTCGTTTGTTAATTTTCGCAGCTTGTTGGATAGTTTCGTGGGGGAGCTGGATTTGGGCTTTCCGGGAGAAAGGCGATTCTCATCGGCCGGCTGAGCCCTTGCTTTCTGAGGAGAGCTTCTGGGTGTGAGTAGTTTTTTGATATTGCCCATCGCTTGAAATAGTTTTTTGATTTTCTTGAGGGCTCTGGGGGTTGAAGACGGGGTGCAGGAAGAGAGTTAGGATGAAAAATCAGGCGGGGTGCAAAGTTTCTTTACTCACATGCACATGCAACGTCTGGGCGGGCGATTTGATGTAATTGGTGGTTGAAGTTTATGGCTCTCAAGATGCTTGATGAGCGTGATTTGGAGGGTGGCTGGAGGTTGAGAACGGATTGCAGCGGGTCGTACTGGGGCCATTTTATATGGGAATCATTCAAGATTTAGATGGTTACATTTCAAGGAATCGTTACTGGGGGGGGGAGGGCAAAAGTCTTATGTCCTCAGTCCAAAAGCGCGACTGAGTGCATACAAAGACGCTTACATAGAGCGAAAGCAATCGAAGTAAAAGTAACCGATATTAAGGCAAATACTTTCCGTGCTTTCCAGTGTTCTCCCCAAATGAACGTAGACAAAACAAAGAACCAAAAGGCGCTGTCGTCCAAAGTTGCTTTGGGTGCTTTCGAGGAATGAGGTACCCAATGAATGTCTTGCCGAACTCAACATACAAAGCATGTTTTCCAAAAGTGTTTTTGAGCTTTCAACCGCAACCAAACTTGAGAGGAACTGATGCGATCAAACTTCTGGCCGAGAGATCGCCCGAGTTGCCGATATGAGGGAAGACGTCTGGATGGTGGTGGTGGGGGGGGGGGGGGGGTGTGTCCGCATAGAGCCTTGCAATGCATCTCATACCTCCACGGAGCTGTTTATGAGACTTGAGCGAATGATATGATTCCAGAAGTAAGGCAGGATAGATTCTAAATAGCATAAATGTGTAGTCCCCCTAATTCGATGTGGTGGTACTTGGATGCACCTGCAAATTAGGGCCTTCATGAGGATAATCCATGTAGTTGCGACTCGCTGCGACCATGATCCACCCAAAAATAGACCCACCACTCCAGGAATTCACGTTTCTGACGACTCAAATATGTTTGAAGTGACGGTGCTCGAATCAACAGATCTTCAGCAGCCCTGTGTTTAAAATCGGAATTAAATTTGTCTCGGCCCAAGAAGCAGCGACTTTCTTGTTACAAGCGGTTTCAATTACAATGAGAATTGTTGAAGAAAGTGTTCCTTGGCTGTGCCCCAAGTTGCAACCCGAGTTGTAACCCCCGTCATTGCCACTTGGGCTCTTCTGAGGTTGGTGGTCGCCGAGCGGGTAACATCCAAGCTTACGAGGCGCATGTATCCATGTAATGTATGCGGTTGACAGAATCCCTTGTCCGCCAGCCCTCGGTGAGTCCTCGAATCATGCTCTCAACCTTCACCGTTTCCCGTGTTATCCCTTGGTGTTCCTTGGTGAGGGTTTCTCCTTATCCGGACAAAATCCCACCCAAGAATCTCTGCGCCTTGTAAAAGCTTACCCCATTCCCTGCTGCCAGAAACGCATTGTGAAAGCTTATTATTAGCTCTTCTTCTTATCACTCTTTGTCAAAGATTGCAAGAGATGGAGGGCCCTCAAATCTGGAAATTTTAACATTTTAGATCGCAAAAAAAGGTCGTGAAACACACGGATGGATCCCTTGGCACGCAATTAACAACTTCCGCTGAAGGTTTTGCTTGTTGAATTGGAACGGCCAATGATTAAGGTCTGATTCCAAAACTGCATATGTATCCCGATTCTCAACAGAAAGTTGGACGTCTCTTTGTATCTTTGAGCGCTGAACTGTTGGGGAATTTACATGGATCCTCGTACCGAATCATTTGAATGTTATGTACCCTTTTCTCAATGTTTTCAGTAGAGTCCTTCACTTGTAAGCTAGAAGACAATCTTTGGTAAAACAAGTGAGAAGAGAAGATGTCATAACCATTTTATGGTTATAAGTAACAAGAGAACGAAGACCCCTGCATAAGGAAATGGCGTATAAATAACACAACAATGTGCCGGGCACGCAAATATCCAAGTGCTGCATATTGGACTTGCAAGTTGACCAGCAATCATTGACATTTTCTCATTACTGATAGGGAGGACATTCAACACAAATCCGATGGTTTTTTTGGGATGGCTCATCAGTCCAACGTCGCTGATATCGTGGCGGATGAAGTCGACATAAATTCAAATGCTGGCTAGCTTTGGAATTCTATGAGGTCTCATCTTACAACAATGTTCCAATGCCGGATAGAACTGAGGCTGGTCTTGGATGGGTCCCAAAGCTCTGGACATCGCACGGGTAGCCAACAATCCAATCAATTCGACCCTCGGGAATATAGAACCGATTACTTTTTCATCCACAAGGGCTTGATAAGATGAACCATCAACCAGCCGAATTGATATGGACTGAAGATTGCGCTTGCTTGTTGTGGATCGCAAGGACATACAAGTAGGATTCTAGGTAGAAAGAAGAAGACGGCTGTCGAATTCTCGTTTGGGCACCTATCACATCGTCTGAAGGAATTCGGTCACATGTTGATGTGGCATGACTTGTTTCCGTCATCAGCAGTGCACCCTTGAACCTGCCTATAACCACCGGAGAATCATCGTGCTGCACGTTTAAGGCCAAACATATCGATGTCCATGTCGATTACGATGCACTCAGGAAGCACACATTGAATCTTTTGGCTTCCTTTCTTCTGTTCTTCTGCGTCTTCTCTTCATGTTGGATGCCACTTGCGTGCTTTTGGTTTGCTCTCTCCTTGTGGTTTCTTCGGCTCTGTAATTGTAAAGAGCACCTCTTTCTCGGAGTTGTTGTCACAAAGGTTTTTCCCCACCCGGATGCAACACTCTTTAGGACGGGCGATGTAAATCTCTACATAAATAGTTGATTTTGATCAAGCCATCTTGGCAATAAGGAGTATCGCCGCTCAGTGGATGCAAAGCGTTATGCTGCAGCATGTTATTTTTCTGATATATAAGTATTTAAATTATTGTTGTATCTTTGACAGTCCGTTAGCCGAAGTGCATGCCAGCCCCGATTGAGTGCGAGATCTCGGCTGGCCAAGCAAGGCCGAGGAAAAGAGAGAGAGCTCGGTCAGAGGATCCACTCAAACCGGGCTTATGTCGGACCTTCTTCCTCTTCCACCCCTCACAACTGCTCTCCCCAGCCTCGCCTGCTCATCACGGAACCATGGGCTCCCAGAAAATTCGAATGGGACACTCGAATCGATTTTGGTATAAAGCCGGCCCCCTTCTGGCAGTGTCTGTATCAACCATCTTCCCTCCTGCTCCCCCCCATCGGAAGCTTGAATAGTAGTAGAACTCCTATACTTGAAATTCACGTTTTGGGCCCATCCATCCATCCATCCATTGAAGAATTTCGCGCGTTTGTCAGTAGTCGATCTCCTCCTGTCCCCACTATTCTTTTATGTAACGGTATCAGTACTGATCAGCTCTTGTGACCCATCTTTATTCGTCGCAGTTTGTTAACTCTCTCTCTCTCGGGTATACCAGTTTGGCCTTTTTGGTGTTGGTCAGGAGACAGAGAGCACGGACGACTCACAGGTGAGCTCAACAATGACCCAACTGTAAATGCAAGCGTCGCTGATCACCAACGACATTTTCTCTCCACTTTCCTCTCATCGGAATTCCCAGTTTTTTTTTTTTTATACAGACTATCTTTCTCCGATATCTCGCTATCCAATGTTGTCGATCCGGACACTCTTGGCCCATCTGCTTGTGTTGGATGTCTGCTTCGCACTCACGGCAGGAGGGCCGCCAAGTACCCCGCCAACGCACCCCTACAAACAGCAGGTTCAAAACACCGATTTGGATGCCTGGATTGCCAAACAAGCCGACCTTTCTTGGTCTAATGCGCTCACCAACATCTCCCCGCACGGGGCCTTACCCGGACTCATCGTCGCTTCTCTCTCGTAAGTTTTTTTTTCTTCTCTCATCTCTTGACTCGATTACTATCACTTCATCTGACATATTATTATTATTATTATTTCTTGACAAAAATAGAACCTCGAAGCCCGATTATTACTACAGTTGGACTCGTGATACATCCATGTTTGTCAATTTCGATTTCCGCATATAATGATAACTCCAAATTGGCTAACTAAAACCATATGTACTTTCAACGAAAATTTTGCAAAAAAAGAGTATTGAAGGAGATCGTTTGGCGATACCAAGAGAGCCAAGACCCGAAGCTATTGGCCCTGATCAAGCAAACCATTCCGGCCACCCAAGTGATCCAACGATCATCATCCGGCGCGACTGCTGGACTAGGGGAGCCCAAATACTTTGTCAATGGCTCCGCTTTCACTGGGCCATGGGGAAGACCACAGAGAGATGGCCCGGCCCTAAGAGCCTCGGTTTACATCAAATTCGCCTTGGCTTACCTTCGCGTCGGTGGACCCGAAGCGGCCCGATATGTCAAGAGTGTCTTGTACGATGGTCAATGGAAATCTCGCTCCGTCATCAAAGGTAAGCAAGTCGTTTCTCTCTCCCAATTCCCCCCTTTTTTTTGTCAAAAAAAAATTGAAATAAAGCGAAACTTTGATATTAATATTAATTCATAAATGTTGCATTTCTCAGCCGATCTGGAATACATCTCGAACAGTTGGAAAGAGCGCTCATTTGACCTCTGGGAAGAAGTGAACGGCCACCACTTCTTCACGTTTGCGGTGATCCACAGAGCGTTGAAGGATGGGGCCAGTTTCGCGACCAAGATGGAGGATCGTGGTGCGGCCGCTTGGTACCAAAAACAGGCGGATTTGATCGCCGTTCAGCTCGATTCTTTTTGGGACACTCAAGCAAGATACATCCAAGCCAGTCGAAACTTCGTCGATTCTCATGGAAAGGTCTGTGTTCTCTTCCTCCATTCATTCGCTTTGTTTTCTGAGAAATTCATACAAAATAAAATCATTCAGCTGATCTTCTGGTCATCTGCTTTTTTCCTTGCTTGCTTGTGAGTTTAGAAATCCGGATTAGACGTGGGAACCTTGCTAGGTTGCTTGCACGCTGGAACCCAAGCCCCACAGTCATTCCGTCCAGATTCCGATAAGATGATCAACACCTTTCACGCTATATTGCAATCTATGAGGTCAGTCCGAATCCCTCCAGTTACAAGGTAGTGTTCTTTGCAGACTAATAATTGCCAACTTCACATCATCTCTCTTTCTCTTTCTCTCGAACGATAGCAAAACCTATCCTCTTAACAGTAGATTTCATGATTTGACTGCCAAGGCAGTCGGCAGATACCCTGAAGATGTAAGCCCTTCTTGCCTGCTTCTTTCAAGCTTTCCTTCTTCTTCTTCTTCCCATTAGACAATGGATACAAGTAAATACATAAAAACCGAATCAAGTTGAAAACGAAACTACAAATTTGGATCCTGATTTTTTTTTTCTTCCCTGATTCCCTTAATCTGTGAAAAGATCTACGATGGAGTGTCGACGAGTGTTGGAAATCCATGGTTCATCACCACGTTAACGATGGCGGAATACATATACCGACTGAATCCGAAGACGGAGCTGAGGACCAATCGATGGAGTGGCTCTGACGGAGAGACTCAGAATCTGACCTCCCGGATGATTGGGGACCAATTCGTCTCCATTGTCAGGAATTTCATCCAACCTAACGGGCTCGATCCATGAACAATTCGATCGGGTTAATGGGGCTGGAATCGGCGCCCGTGACCTCACTTGGTCTCACATTTCTTTCTTATCGATGGATCGTGCTAGGAGAGGCTTACCTGAATTTTAGCTGTTTTCTCTCACTTATTCACACGCTGTTTCAGTTCAATTTTTTTTTAAGTATTCATCAAAAAAACAATAAAACGAAAAACCTATCTTACCTTTATCTTGTTGGACTGTTTGCTTCTGATCTTTCCCTCTGTTCCGATCCACCGTTTTTGTTGGACTTGAAGCCGCCGATATGTAGCTTGAGGAAATGGACAATTTGAATGAAGTGTTGGTGTTTTTGTTTGGAATGAATGAGTTGAGTTATCCATCAAGCCATCCAAAAAAGGTCACATTTGACCTCATCTGAAGAGAACGACACCCAATCCTGGCGATCCAGCCAACGGCAGTCTTCTCCTAAGATACCAGCACACACATGCACACACGAAGAAAAAAAAAAGAGTCAGCAAACCTCTCGTTATCACTTATCTTCTAACCAAACTGCAGCTTTCAAGTAAATGGCCCCTCTGCCATCGATCACCCCAATGATAAAAAATGGACGATCCTGTAAAAGTGCAGTTGTCATCTACAGCCCTTGGAAGTGGATAACATATAACCTCAGCTGAGCAGAATCAGGAGAGTATACTATGTATGGAGCATCTTTGTAAGAAAGATGGCCATACCAAAATCTACTCGGACCCTACACTCATGATACATCCTCTCCACCACTACACACCTTAACCATCATTTAGCTGACAGTCCATAAATGAACAGTCTTCCCCTCTCCCCACAATAGAAAAAGAATCGATCTGGTCAATCAAAGAGATACAGTCTTGAATAATCCGCCAAAAAAAGAACAGATCTGATGAATCAAAGGTGGCAAATGAAGACGAAGCCCAAGCCAAAGAAAAGGGTGTGGTGGAAGACACCAATAGAGAAGATACGCAAGCCTGACTCAACTTGTATGTGAGTAGCTTGAGGATCAAGAGGTTTCTCCAAGCTCTTGGACTTAAATCTGATTCAAGGAGACCGATAATAATCCTTTGACCTATGTATGCATTTATGATAAAAAACCCGGGACTGAAGAATCAACACCGTTGAGGTGAATGTATGGATAGACAAAAAGAAGATCTGATACCATCTACAAAGCTATTAATTCCAAAAGGGAAAGTGATTCAAGGAGTCATGCAAGCTTTGATTCAACCCCTCAGTCGACCCCGTGTATGTGATGAAAGGGACAACAGCTTTATATTCAAGCAATACTTCATAGCGTTCATTCCTTGGATTATGTGTCTATCTGAGATCTCCTTTCCAGCAGTTCGCATAGGTTGGATCACAGGATGAATATGTAAGTATTCCAATCACTCCAGTAATTAGTAATTCGAATCCACTTCAACGGCATAACGAGCACATAGAGGATGACATATCTATCCACAGTCTCACTGAAGAAAACGTATGTATGAATATATGTGTGTTGAACTATAAAACAATTAAAAAAAGGGCGGATGGTTGCTATTCAATTAAACAAAGAAAAAAAGTGAAGATATTTCATGAGTACTACCATTTTTTTTGTATAGGTGGGGGTATCTTAGTGAGCACTTTTTGAGTGCATTTTGATGCTGATGCTGATGCTGATGATGTTGATGATGAGAATGGGAATGGAGAATGAGGCATGATGAGGAAAGATGAGGTGCATGTATATATGCAAGTGATGTCATAGAAGATAAATGTGCATTGATTCTATTTGGTGTCATTATGATCATAAATTTTTTTGGTCAGTTTTTTTCTATAAAAAAAGAAGGGGGAGTTGAATTTGATTTCAAATCGATTTTTTTGGGAGAGGGAAGGTGATCATTTCGAACAGATTGATTGATCCTAAGGTGTAAGCACCAAGGTGAGCAGAGCCATGCGAACCTGACATAGAGAAAGAAAAAAGAGTCCGAGTTAGAAAACAAAAAAGATAAGACGGACAAAGAGTAGGATAAAGGAGGGCAAATAAGGGCAGACGAAGCTTACAAAGAGGCCGTAACGCATTTGTCTGAAATAGGCTGCCCTCAAAGGGTCCAGATCGACCTCGGCGTCGATCTCGGCATTCCGAGGTAAGGGATGGAGGACGATAGTATGTTTGCGAGCGCGACTGAGCAAGTCGTGATTGATTCGATAGGAGCCCTTGACGGCCTCGTACTCGGCTTGGCTGGTGAAGCGTTCTTGTTGGACGCGAGTGACGTAGAGCACATCTGTCCTGCCGATGACTTCTTCCAGGTGGTTAGATTGCTCGAACGAGATCCCAGCTCTGGCCACCTCTTGCTTAATCGAATCCGGTAGGGCGAGCGAGCGAGGCGAGACAAAGATCAGGTTGACTTGGTACAGACAGAGCAACTTCACTAAGCTGTGGACCGTGCGCCCATTCTTCAAATCTCCAACCATCGTGATCGTCAATCCGTTGACCGTTCCCAACTCCTCACGGATCGTATAAACGTCTAAAAAGGCCTGAAAACATTCGAAAAAAGGCGATGGAAAGATGGGTTAGACTCGGGTCAGCGTGATTGTCAAGCAAAGCCGGTAATATGGCTTAAAATAATTGTCCCATAAAGCTCACCTGAGTGGGGTGTTCCCCTACACCATCACCTGCATTAATGATCGGGACGGGAGAGACGTTGGCAGCGCTTCGGGAGCTTCCAGCAACGGGGTGTCTCAAAATGATTGCATCGCCATAACATCCAAGAGTTCGGATAGTGTCGGGCAAGCTTTCACCTTTAGCAGTTGACGACTGATCGGCGGAGATAGAGACAACTCTCCCGCCTAATCGGCACATGGCAGCTTCAAACGAAGCCGAGGTTCTTGTTGACGGTTCGTAAAACATCGAGCAGATCACTTTGCCCTTGAGAATGTCTAGTACCCCGTTACGCTCGACCTGAGTGCGCATCTCCTGAGCAATACTGAACAACCCATGGAGGTCATGTCGGGAGAATTGATTGACGGACAAGATGTGGCGTTGATGGAAAGCTGGGTTTCGCTCAAAGCCTAGATGTGGACTGGAAGGCTCGCGAGGGATGAGCTGAGGGGTAAAGGAACCGGACGTCTGCTGGACTTCGGGTAGACCGGACTGTAAAGATCTGGTATGTGACCCAGAACGAATGATGGGGAGTGTTCCTGGCTCAAACGGCTGACCAGCTTCATCGGCACGAACATTCGGCGAACCATTGATCATTCCGCTGGTCGAGCGAAGTGTTGATCGGTTGACCGCGCCTTGAGGCGAGTCAATTAGGTTGGAAATGGGGAATGTCGGCTTGGTCTTGTTAGCACCGGCGTGACCGTAGGGGGTTTGCAGTTCACTGGCGGTGCGCGAAATTGATATGGGAGCCTGGTTGAGATGCTTGCCCGTCCCTGATTTGGAGTGAGAGAAACCATCTAGACAAACGGTTTCTTCGTGGAAGACGACGCGATGGACGTGACCATTGAACATTTGGTCTTGTAATGGCGACCAACTACTACTGGTGAACTTATGGCTGCGGTCAACCTCCACTTCAACATAGGTACCCATGGGAGGTGGTATATTGAAGATTCGAGCAGGGTTTTCAGAACATCGAAGGGTTATGTCTTCCAGAGTTAGCTTACCCTGGCTGATGGCGGAAAGGAGCAGTTGAATACATTCTTCGTAGCCATCTCCGGGTGCGTATGGTTTTCCTAGCTCTTCGGCTAATTCGAAGGGCAATCGACCGACAGAGAGCGTATCGATGTGTTCCAAATGTTCCCACATCACCTCCTGATCCTCGACGGTAGGTAAGCACTGGGCCTGAGGATACATTGACTGATTCAAAAACAAGGAGTAGATTGTCACGTCAGCCGTGACTTTCAATCCCTTCTGCTTGCTCAACAATATCAACTCGATGTCTGCAGCCGTGCAAACGTCTAGGACATGAACGCTGCGATTATGTAGACTGGCAAATAGTAGAATCGAGGCGAGGTTGGTAGTCTTCGCGTCGGTCAAGATTGGCTTATCGAGTGGCCAGTGGTTGAAGTGGGCGGCAATAGCAACGGCTTGATTGGCGCCGTTCCATTCACGCTCAAACGGGAGCATCAGAGCACTGGTCAGACTGATATCCGGTCCTTCAAGAGAGTTGACATTATGGGCGGTGGCGGCAACAACAAAGCTATAGTTACAATGAGCTCGAGTGGAGATAGACGATTTGACCAGCGCTAAGGTCTTGCTGTCATCGATGCGTCCATCGCCGCCAATACCGGAAACCAAAAGAGTCAGGAAACCCGATTTGACAGCAGTTGCGGTGATTTGCTCCAATGAATCGGAGTTTGGTGAGATCAGAGAATTGACAAAGCAAGCTGAGTCAACGAGACCCGGAAGCCTGATGGTTCGATGTGACGATTTAGCGTCGATCGAGCTGATCGAAAGAGTAGGGTATCTTGCGAGACCCTCGATCAAGATTTTCGCGTTTTTCACATTGGTTATGAGGGGGATGGCATGGTCGATGGCGGTTCGTCGGGCTCTGTAGCCCAGAGATATGTGTTGCTGGGGGCGTCTGAACCTGTTTCGGGAGGGGAGATTGATGAAGAGGTCGACCTTGCCTTGCTTGAGGTGATCAATCAGAGAATATTCGGCCTTCTGTCCTTTGGCTTCTTCTTGGGACGAGAAAGCTTCCAGAAATTTACACGGAATGCCGTGTTCCTAGTTTCAATAAAAAATATGCAGCATCAGTCAAATGACACGACGTGCTCGAAAAAAAAAGGACAATTGAACCTGAGAACTTACAGTTATGAAGTCGTTGGTCCCGGCGGTACCGTAGATGGTGTACCCAAGTCGATGTAAACGTTCAACAGAAGGTAACATTTCTAGCTTGTCAGCATAGGCACCGATAGAAAAGAGGACACTCTTCTTGGGAAGTCGGACGTTCGTAGCCAAGATAGCTTTGAGATAAGCTTCGTATTTGTCCTTGCCAAAGCAAGCAACCTCGCCCGTCGAAGACATCTCAACCCCCAAGACGGGATCAGCACCGGCCAATCGAGAAAAACTGAATTGAGGAGCCTTAACTCCCACATAGTCTTTGGGCATGGTGGATGTCGGGTATGGCTGGACGGGGAAACCCATCATTGCGTCGGTTGCCATGGCCACGGCGTCAATCCCGGTCACTTTTGAGACGAACGGGAATGATCGAGAGGCCCGAACATTGCACTCGATAACCTACAAAAGAAAACGTTAGTTAGAGGAGTTACTCTGGTGCCAGTGAATTTGGAAGGACGAACCTTGATGTCATTGTTTTTGGCAATAAACTGAATGTTGAAAGGGCCCGTGATGTTGAGTGCATTACCGATTTTCTCGGTGGCGATTTCAATCCTTCGCACAGTCTCGGGATCAAGATCCTGAGGCGGTAGAATCAAGGTAGCATCGCCCGAATGGACCCCGGCGTTTTCTACGTGCTCACAGATGTAATGCATCACCAATTTACCGTGACGAGCGACAGCATCCATCTCAATTTCCTTTGCGCCTTCGATGTACTTGGTGACCACGACTGGATATTCACGCGAGACTTGAGCGGCTTGGGCGAGATAGGCAGACAGATCGTCTGCAGAATATGCTACATTCATCGCAGCGCCGGATAAGACGTAGGATGGTCTCACCAGCACTGGGTAGCCGACAGTTTCACAGAAAAGATGGGCTTCTTCGATTGTCGTCAGTTCTTTCCATCTTGGTTGATCAACACCTATCTTGTCAAGCATTCGAGAGAATTTGTATCGGTTCTCGGCGTTATCAATCATTTCTGGAGAAGTTCCGAGAATCTTCACATTCTGTCGGTGCAGGGGCAATGCGATGTTGTTGGGCGTTTGCCCGCCCATCGAAATGATGACTCCGCTGGACTTTTCAAGGTCGTAGATGTCTAGAACGGTCTCGAGACTGATATTTTCGAAATATAGTCGATCTGCCTCATCGAAATCGGTCGAGACGGTTTCTGGATTATAATTGACCATCACAGTACGTAACCCACGACCACGCAGGGTGCGAATGGCTCGCACTGCACACCAATCAAATTCCACAGACGACCCAATGCGGTAAACACCAGATCCTAAAACGATAATCCCCCGATCATCAAAAGTGACATCGTGTTCTGTAGCATTATACGAGGTGAACAAGTAGTTGGTGAATGCTGGGAATTCTGCGGCCACGGTATCGATTTGCTTGACAAATGGCATGATACCGAATTCTAGACGCAGTCGACGGATGGCCAACTCGTTCGAATTCAAGAATCGGGAGAGTTGATTGTCGGAGAAACCGAGTTGCTTGGTGTAACGAAGCAAATTGACAGGGAAGTTGGAAGCATGATATTTCCTAACAATGTTCTCCATCGTGACCAAGTGTTTGAGCTTAGAGAGGAACCATTTGTCGATGCGGGTCATTTCCCACACTTCGTCAAGCGTCCACCCCGCATTGAAGGCATTAGCGATCGCGAATATTCTGCGGTCGGTCGGCTGGGTTAATTCTTGCTTGAGTTCATCTTGGCTGACGATCGAATTTTTATCGAAACCAGTGAATGACGGATCGACGGAACGGATGGCTTTTTGGATCGCTTCCTCAAAGTTACGGCCGATGGCCATCACTTCTCCGACTGACTTCATTGAGCTACCAAGTTTGCTGGACACTCTCTGGAACTTCTTCAAGTCCCATCTCGGCATCTTGACCACACAATAATCCAAGCTAGGTTCGAAGCAAGCAGACGTCACTTTGGTGACCGAATTGCGAATTTCGTTCAGCGGTATTCCTAGTCCCAACTTCGCTGCGATGAAGGCCAGGGGATACCCGGTGGCCTTGGAGGCCAGAGCCGAAGACCGCGAGAGACGAGCATTGACTTCAATGATGGCGTATTCCTTTGAGCGGGGATTGAGGGCATACTGGATGTTACATTCACCTAATTGACAGAAAGAGACTGTTAGCCTGCGAGAAAAAAAATATAACGACGAGCATGTGACGAATCACGGACCAACTACACCAAGGTGACGAATGACATTGATGGCCGTAGTTCGAAGCATTTGATAGTCGGCATCCGAAAGCGTTTGAGAGGGGGCAAACGACGATCGAATCACCTGTATGGATTCCCAGCGGATCAAAGTTCTACAAAAGATTGGCTCGTCAGATTCAACGTGTACACATCAGATGAAGTCTCCCCGAAAGTTGAAAGACAAACCTCCATGTTACAAACGGTGATGCAGTTGTTCCTACAATCCCTTACGACCTCATACTCGATCTCCTTCCAGCCTTTCATACTTCTTTCAATGAGCACCTGGGTGCTGATAGCAAAAGCCTTGTCGCACAGTTCTCGAAGCTCGTCATCATTATTGGCAAAGCCACTTCCCAAACCCCCAAGCGCATAAGCAGCACGGACGATGACAGGATAGCCGATCTGATTCGCTGCCTTGAGACTCTCATCGATAGAAGTCGCAGAAGCGCTCGTGGCACACTTCTCACCAATCTCGGCCATCGCGCTAGCAAACAACTCTCGGTCTTCGGTGGTCACGACAGTAGAGATCGGAGTTCCCAGTACCTTCACTCCCAAACCTTCGAATTCGTCAGCCAAGGCGATCCCGACAGAGAGGGCAGTTTGGCCTCCAAAAGTACAGTAGATTCCGTCCGGACGCTCATGTCGGATCACTTTTCGCACAAACTCAGGGGTGACTGGCAGGAAATAGACCTTATCGGCCAATCCTTTGCTAGTTTGAATGGTGGCAATGTTCGGGTTGATCAGAATCGTATAAACGCCTTCCTCTTGCAGAGCTTTGATGGCCTGGCTACCAGAATAATCGAATTCTCCAGCCTGGCCGATCGATAAACCACCACTGCCAAGAACCAGGACTTTCTTCACGTGGACCTTTGGGTTCTTCAGGCTGTTTTCGTGAGCACTGCCTCCAGGCATGGTGACAGGAAGGAAGGTGCCGTCTTTGGCGAAGGAAGTTACACTCTTGACAAAGACGTCGAAGAGGAATTCGGTATCTTGTGGACCAGGCGCGCTTTCGGGATGAAACTGGACACTAAAGTAAGGGTAGTGGGTGGAGTAGATACCTTCGTTGCTCTGATCGTTGGCGTTGACAAAAAGCTCTTTCCAATCTTCAGGAAGCGATGCGGTGTCGACGGCATATCCGTGATTTTGCGAAGTGATGTAACATCTGCCTGATTGAAGGTCAGTGCAAGGAATATTTTGCCCCCGGTTTCCGTACTTCAGTTTCATCGTTTTGGCACCAACTGCCAATGCAAGCAACTGATGTCCCAGACAGATTCCGAAGATAGGGAAGGACTTCATTTCGACTGCTTGACGGATTCTCAGAATGGGCGCTTCGGCTAGCTTGGGATCACCTGGGCCGTTGGAGATAAAAAGTCCATCGAACGATCCTGGTTCTTCCACGGCCGGATTTAGGAAGTCGTGATCCCAGGGAACGACCATCACTTCGACCCCACGGCGTAAGAAGCAACGGATTTGGTTGTATTTCATTCCGACGTCCAAGGCCAAAATTCGCAAAGGTCTGGATTTCGTGGGATGTTGTAAGACTTGAGCCGGTTGTGCATGGGCGGGTAGGTGCTGAGGCTGATACAAGGTCGGCTCGGTCCGCGAGACAAGTTGAACTAAATTCTCCATGTTGAAATCGTGAAGTGGGATATCGATGTAATCCGCGCGCCATGATTCACGAGGTGGACCGAATCCACTGAGTCTCGAAAGAGGAGCCTTCTGGACTGATGAGTTACTTGAGGATGTAGGTGGAGAGGTGGATTTTGAGAGCAATTTGGCCAGCATGACACCCCGCTCCCTGATCTTCTTCGTCAATGCACGTGTATCGACTCCACAGATAGCGGGGATTCCTTGTTCTTGAAGCCATTGGCCTAGTGGGCTTTCGGCAAGATGATGACTGGAATCCTCGCCGTCACCACTGTAGGATCCGACGACTAATGCGGCGACGTGGATTTGAGAGGACTCGAATTGGGTTGGTAGAAGTATGTCTTCTCTTTTGGGTACGCCATATGAGCCGATCATCGGATAGGTGAGAACCAGGATTTGGCCTTTGTAAGAAGGGTCGGTTAGGGACTCGGGATAGCCGACCATTCCTAAGTAAAAAGAAAAACCAGCAAAGGTTCAGTGTGATGAACAGGACCGAAGACCAAATTTCGAGAGGAGATGAACAAGAAAAAGGTGGGCACCTGTTTGGAAGACGCATTCTCCGGTGACGCTTTTGCCTGGCAAGCCGAAGCCATAACCTTGATAGATAGTACCGTCTGCGAGCTCGAGAACCATGATTTTCTTGGACAATCCTTCGCGGGCAGAAGGATTACCATCCTCACTTTCGCCGACTGCTGCAGTATATAACCCGTTAAGCGCGGGCACGGAGGGGGTGGCTGGAGGTAGAGAATGAATGCCTCTTTGGTGGCCCGAGATGGAGGGTGAACGGGACATGACTGGCGAGCGGCTAGGTAAAGATTTATTCAAGAAACAAGATAATTAGTTTGAGAAATCAACCGAGATATGATGTAGAATGACCAACACTCCGTTAGGTCCTTTGATCGCAGCAGCACGCCTGGCAGCAACATCGAGCGGTTCAGTGCCAGAGATGGATGCGATTGGGCTGGTGAGTGGGCTGCCATCCAGGATTCCGTTGTCGAGTCCAGACATTCTATCAAGGGAAATGAAGGGTTTGGCCATGATGGTTAAAACTGAGGTTTGGGGTAACCAGAGGAAGAAATAGATGGAACCAACATTGAGTTTTTGTTCTATCAGATGGTGGTGACCTGTTGTTTTGCTGCTTTGTTGGCGAAAATGAAATGCTGTCAAGTGTGCTATTATTACTGGCAAAGCAACAATCTTGCGTAACCAGGACAATAGTAGGTGTTTTCACGGATATACCCGGGTGTTGGTTGGTTGAGTATGAGCTAAGTCTCTGGTCTTGCTTATAAGTCTGTGGTTTGTTGTTCGTGATTCGTGAGTTGTGACATGAAAGAAGAAGAAGAATATCTGTGAAGGTGAAGGTGTATCTCCGAGGAGAAGCACGATGCCGTCCCGGTTCAAACAGAAATTTTCTCCGATTTTGCATATCGAGCCAGAGCGGTGGGCGGAGAGCGATGTTGGGTATATGCATCCCATGCATAGTGCATCTTAGCCCCCCGCCCCCCCTCCGCTGGCTGATGTAAGCAATCTCGATCACTACATATCCAGAGACTCAGAGTGAAGGGATGCATGAAAAAAAAAAAAAACAGCAACACTCTCAAGAACGAACAACTACAGACGACGAAGACGAAGCTCAGGAATGAGAAGAACCGAGAACCAAATGAGAAGACTCAGATCGAACCATTTGATTCGACATCCGAACCACAATCAGAGGAACATCACTTGCTATCATCACCATCTTCAGCCGACTCAGCTCTCCCCTTCAACAACCTACCACACAAGAAGAAAACCCAGTCAATCAAGACCAACCTCACCTGAAAACCATCCATTAAACTTCTTCACCGAGTTCCGTTCGCAACATCAACATCATCATCCGGTCCTTTATCCTGAACATCCTCATCAACATGCTCGCTCTTACGCTTTCAACCATCCCTTACGTCATTACTTTCATCTCAATCACCATCATCTTAACCCTTCTAATCAGAACCTCCCAACACCTATCAACCCTCATCTCAACCACGAACGATCTCCCGTCCATCCTTTTATCAATTCTAGGAACCCTAGTCACCCCAACCAAAGTTGGTGGCAGGTATGTCCATCCATACTTCTTGCATGTATTCTTTTTCTTCCAATCTGACTTTGCTGTTTGTTTTTCCCTTTGGGCTGAAAAGTGCTCTTCAGATTATCGTGAGGTTCAAAACAGCAGTCCAAATAACACGGCTCACCAGAAACTCAAGCTAAAATTCGACAGAACTCAAGCATTCCAAAATTACACCTCAGAATTATTCAACATACAACCTTCGTCTAAAAACTCCAATCTTCCTCTGACAATCATTGTTCAAGACGTGATTTCTTTGCTTCAAGACCCCAAATTCCAAAATTATTTCGATCAAATCTGGTCTGATTTGAATTCAAACGAAGAAAATGAGAAAGACGAGAAGTTCAAAATCATTGAAATCCAGAGAAAATCGGTCGAAATCTTGTTACAGACGATGATCAACATCTTGAATTCTACCACAGATTCGACTCAAGTGACTGAAAGGTTGAAGATCTTCAATGCCGTCATAAATTTTTTAATCGACAAGAAAAATGCAGATCGGGTGGTTTCGATTCTCGGTTTAGATCCTATCCTAGGATGGCGGAATTTGATCAAAGAGCATCTCCGCATCCAAACCTTAAAAACCTTGGTCACATTCATCAATCTGTCGAATCCCAACCTATCGATGTGGTGGACATCCGAGATTTCTCGCGCTCAGGGCGATCCAGTCCAGCTCAATCAGCTAGCCCACGTTGGCCTCTTCTTAATCGTCGCCCTTTCCAAGGAAGGTTCGGTTTGGAAAGCGTTGAAGTTGTTTTGGAGGATGGACAGATTACCTAGGCTTGACGGATCCGCTGCTGAAGTCTTACAACACCAACGACGTGCTGCCACTGCGCTGGGTCTTGTGGATGCCTTATGTTCTCGCAAAAGGATCGATGCTGCAAATGATGTTCTGGAAACTCTCTTGATCGGCGAATGGCTCGGGCCACTATACCAACGATATCTCTTGAGCATGTTGATGGTCAAGGCTGCTCGTGGAGAACTTTCAGAAGTGACGAGGATTGGACAGGCTTATGAGCGTACGTGGGCGAACTTGAACCAGAGCGAGGTGATGGTTGGGAGGAACAGACGGAGCCGGGGGTTTCATCTTCAAGATCCAAGGATTCCTGTCGCCCGGGCAAAGATCGAGGCACTTGGAATACTCGGCGAAACACGATCCGCCATCGAAATCTTTCAAGAAACAATGCGCACCGTTCCTCCCAAGCTTGGCGTTTCGTCCCAGATACCCGATTTGTATGCAGAGATCATGAGGGTGCACATGAAGGCAGACAATCCCAGAGCTATTGAGCGGTTGCTGACACGAATGATTAGCACACCCGATCCGTATAGTTTGAATCAACCTGACCAACGTCACTATAACATTCTCTTGCAGGCTTATGCCAATCGCATAGATATCGAAGGGTGCTCATCTGTCTTAGATCGTTTGGCATCTTCTGGGATCCGCCCCGATATCTACACATTTGGGAATATCTGTTTACTGTTTTCTAATCTGGGTGAACCCGAGTTGATTCGCGAGGTCATCCAAGCCCTGGCTCAGCATAGGTCCCCTAGTCGATCACTAAAACTCAACCGGGAGCTATGGAATATCCTACTGGACGCTTACATAGAATCAGGCGACTGGACCCGAGCAGCCAAGTTGCTGAAGTATCTAGAGCTCAATGATCTTCATCGCAATGAATCTGATGCCGTCACCAATGGATGTGTCCTCAAGGCATTAGTCCTCTCAGGTTCACCAACTAACAAAGTACTCGAGACATTCAAGTCGATGTATAGCAGTCAAACGGGTCTGGCTGCCGACGCGCGATCATACACCCTCTTGCTTCTGTCGATCTGCGATAGTGGAATGATGGATCTAGCCGAGACGATCTTTTACAGCCTCAAAGAGAACAACCTGAACGGCGATAATCATATCGATCGACGGCGCGGCTCAGTGAAGCCGAACGTGTACATGTATGGCATCATGATCTCAGCGTCACTAAGGCTTGGAAAGCATGACTTGGCCCAAGGATACTTGCGCGAAATGCAATTGTCAGGTATCCGGCCGAACCTGGTGATCTACTCGATGCTCACAACCGCATACGCTGCATCCGCATCATCTAGCACTCAGACTCAAATCCGAGGTGAAGGTGAAGAGGAGGAGGAAGAGAGGCAGGAGGATGGGGTGCGGGTGGCCTATGAGATGGCCGAGCGGTTCAGACGCGAGCTTTTGAACCACGATGCCGATGGCGAAATCAATCGGAAGCCACCTAGCGAACGTGCCAACTGGGGAGAACGACCGCTGATGCGGAAAAAACTGTTGCATCGACTGCTGGGTCCGATCATCCAATCCTATGCCAAGTCTGCCCGACCGGCCAAAGCACTCGAGATGTTCCGCGAGCTGGTGTCCTCTCTTGGATCCGAGTCCGGCATCGTCTCTAGCGATGGTAAGCCGATCGATTTGGATATCTTTACCATGTTGATGGATGGCTACCGTCGAGCACAGGATCCGGTGGGGGTGATGGAAGTTTGGAGGGAGATCTTTCGCCTGGCAACTGAGGATAATCAAGCGGTCGATGCGAGCGAGAAGCTGATGGATAAGGTCCTCGATCTGATCAAGAATGACGGACTCCCAGGGGCCGGTTTTGGCGACCAGAGTGTCTCGGAAGTAGCCAGAAGATCGACTGCCGAGCAACGCCACCGAAGAAAAGCCAATAAGCTATGTTTACCCCTATCTATCTACACAGACTGTTTATCAAGACATGGTTACCATGAAGAGATCGCCAAGAGCTGGCATGAAGTCCAGACGCGCGGGTTCGGATTTGACGCGGGTAACTGGAATGAGTTGTGTGCGGCGATGTTCAGAAGTGGGAATCACAGGATGGGATGGTGGATAGCGGAGCGAGTATTTTTTGGGAAAGAAGCCGATCCAGGGGAGCTTGTTGCCTCGGGCTTGGAAGAGGGTGATTCGGAGGAGATGGGGTGGGCGAGGCTGTTGGGTCGGACGGCTGGCTTCGGCTCAGGTCGGACCGTGTTGGGCTTGGAAGGCACCCGGTTGAGTGGGGCACAGAAGACGGAGAGCCCGATCCGACCGCCCAATCGAACGTTCATCCGAAAGACTCGACGGTTTGATGACCAATCTGCGACTCGAATGTCCGTCGAAGGCCTTCTCAATTGGCTCGAAGACCCAGACTCCCTCCCATCAACCCAAGAGGTCAGTCGGTCCCCGGACAACCATCTGGGCTGGAGTCAGCAACTAGAGTACATCAGTCAGGCCAGGCGGGAGCTTGGATGGAGGCCCTCCGGAAAAGTCCTACGGATGTTGCATGGATCGATGTGGAGAGAATGTTCGGATTGGGTGATCGGTAAATGGGAAGAACTCGAAGCCAAGATCGCGCAAGGAGAGGATCGGATGCGCGTGGAAGACAGTCTGGTCGACGACAAGGAGATCATGAAGCGACCCGTCCAAGAGATTGTGGAGGGCTATCAACAGAGGTATCCTCGAACAATGGTCGAAGTTATGACTATCAATGATACCGAGAACATCCCCGTCGGATTGAGTAATCAAGATGTCACTCGTTGGTGTAAGGATGATTTCATCTTGAGAGTCATCGGTAGAACTCTGGAACGCATCCGAGAATAATCACGCAAAAAAAGAAATAATCTGTAATTTCCTCTCTGGTTAGTTGTTTGAAACTTTCTTCTCTCTCATTATCTGATCTCGTTTGACTTGATTGCTCATTTGGATCCATTTTAAACTTAGATTACTAAGCCTATGTATTCATTTTTCAATCAATATAAAAACTAACGGACACATGTTGAGCTTAGCATTACATCCATTAATCCCACGTCGGTTATTTCTATCGGTGTCATCTTTGTTGAAAAATTCCTTCACTGAACTAGATTGCTTTTTTTGTTTTCTTTTTTGTGTGCTTTGAATTTGTTCTCTCATCTATAATACAGACCTCCAGATCATCCAAAGAAACCTGATTGTTTTTTCTTCTTCACTCCTTTTTATTTTCATTTAAGACATTCAAAACACACAAACTCAATTAGACTTAAAAAATATAGTTAGAAAATCATAGATATGTTAATTTTTTATTTTTTTTATAATAGTTACTTAGACAACTAATGTTGATCAGTTTTATTATGGGACATTTAATTCTCATCCATCATCATCCTGTAATCATATAATTTGGGGCTGTATATTAGTACTTATGTATGTGTTCTAATCATCATGTCATAGTGTTTTCTTGAGTGTTACACAGGGTAAACACAACCAGGCTCCATGGGAATCACTGGTGTGTGTTTTGCTGAGGATTTTTGAAGCTTGATGATCACTTTTACAGATTGTTTCAATCAGTTGAGAAGTGTTTCATGAGGGGGTAGAGAAATATGTGGCAAGGGTGTAAAAGCAATGGTGGGGGGAAAACCATGGATTGTTGATGTCACCCTTTGTCTTTGCATTCAAAGTATGAAGTCAAGGTTATCATTGAAGCAGAAAACTTCTCAAAATGCTATGCTGTGAACAACGGTGCAACAGATACGAGACATGTATTCGTGTTGGATTGTATTGTATTTATTTTGAGCCTGATACCGGTATCAGTATTTCCTTGGTTGGTGAAAAAATATCTTGTATTGGATTCGGATTTACAAATGAAAAAAAAAAAAAAAAAATCATCTTTGTTTTTTTCGTTTTTTCTTCAATACGGCCAAATTTCTTATGTATCAAATACATTTTTGGTGTGATCAGTCATCTGAGACAATACAGAATACTTGTCTCACTTTCCAAAGACGATACATGGGTATTGTCTCAGGAAAGTGAGACAACACAAATCCGGTATTTTTGGGTATTCAAATTCTGAGACAATACAGATAAACGCCTGATACCGTATTGTATCGTCTCTGTTGCACCGTTGCTGTGAATAAACAATCAGTATAAACTGAGAGGGAAAAACAAGTTTATAGGGCTTGAAGACCATCTAATTTCATTATTCCACAAATTTTTGTCATATAAGCCAGAAGGTTTGGAAAACATGAATGGATGTGTAATAAATAAAAATTTTCTTTAGATAAGAATTGAGTGATGAAAGGAAGATTTATCATTTGAATATGAAGGAATCCAGAAAATTTCTAGCCACAAGAATTGAATTTAGCCTGCACCTAAAAATGTGGTTTCCAATCTCAGTGTAGCTTTGTTCTGCAAATTATCTACAAACAAAGTTATTCACTGGTTTGACCAAGTGTTTTATTGATCGTGTTCCAGGTTTCATATGAGACCCAAGCTTATAGTTCATTTGACTTGTAAGCTCAATGTCCAATTCTTTCTTCCAGGGGATCATTCTGTGTTCTTGGAAGATTTGGAAATGGTCTGGGATTGTGTTGAATTTCCTGAAGAATAATTTTGTGCTCATGGTCAAAAGATATTTGAAAAACCTTTTATCCTTCTCAAAAAGAGCCATATACTTTTGGTGATTCTGGCTCTTGTAATAATAACCAAGTATATTTGTGCAGGTTTGGCCTATGATCAAATCCTCTGTGTGAATGATCATTTTGTCATGATTTTTTGCTGTAGGAATAACATTGAATCTTTCTATGTTTTCATTTAAAGTAAGTGCATCTATAAACAAATGGATGATTCTTTTATTAATCATGCTCTTGCCATTATCAATTTCCTGTACGTTTCTTGATTGCTTTCCTTTCACTTCAGAAAAACAAGATAAGAAAAACATTTGAATGGATTTCTGCTCATGAATGTAATCTTCCCCAAGTAGTTGACAGGCAAGGGATTCAAGGATTTGATCATTTAATACCCAGATGATATCATATATGTGATTCATTAGCTTTGTTATATTTTTCTCCGGTGTTAGTTGAATTTTTAATTTTATTTCTGCTGATAAGTGTTTCATGGAGAAATTAATGAGGTAATCTTTAACTTCATTTATAATACTCAAAGACAATGGCTGGAAATATTTGTTGAAGTTTTTCTTTGGACTCAATTGGACCCTTGATATCCATGCCCATAGCTCATCTGCTCTGTTCTGACTATTAAAATCAATGTCAATCTCAAATTGTTTCATTTCATCTATGTGTTCATCTTGGAATATTGGCTTCAAATGATTCAAAAAATTAAGATCTTCACATTGAGAAGTATTTGGTGTTGAATTGAAAAGTCCTGCAAGTGAAAATTCTTCACCTGAGATCAGAAACTGAGGTCTTATTTTTGAATTTTCATCTTTGAATGGCTGCATTTCTTGAATATATTTGTGTTCAATCCTGTCTTCAATGTTGGTCAGTTGATAAATGAAATCTGCATCAGATGAAAACACACCATCCCATCTGTTCTTTATTATCTTTTGATAAAAAGCCAAAAAGTGGACAACAGCTTCATTGATCAAAATTTTGGGGTTTGAATACAAAAAATGGCTTCCTCGGTCAATTCATGTTGGTATACTTGGAAGGCAGTGATATCAGATGTTGCATGAACTGCATTGATGATTTTTTGATATATGTTTCCTTCATCAATGTCTAACCACTGCTGATTATAAGTTTCTTTTGTTTGAAATATTGGCATGTTTCCCCTGCACCTCCGCAGGAACTTGGAAAACCACACTTGAAGTTCTTTTTGCTCTTCAAGATGGTTAATTCTCAATTTCATTTTTTCCAAAATGTGCAATATTTGGGAATTTGCAGCCCACAATAGCTGAGAAATCTTTCTGAATCTATGCTTGACATTATTATATCTATGTAGTTGCTCAGGAGTCTTTTTGACTGCAAGAATCTTGGAACTGAAGTGTGCAGTCAATAACTTCTTATCTTCTGGTGATACATTTGTTTCAAATTCATTGCCTATTGATCCTTCAAGATGAGCAAAGACTATTGAAATCCAAGCCCAAAATTTGGATTTCAATGGTGAATTTACTTCACACAATGGTGGATTTGATTCACCCATTAAAATATCTTCCATGTTTTTCCCTGGATTGGTTTGAGTTTGACGGGAATAACTGCTGGAACCTCTTGACCTGCCTTTTTTACGTTTTTCATAACCTTTTGCACCGCTTTGGTGTTCAAAAATCTCTTTCCTAGCCGTTTGATCTGGCTTTCCATCTTGTGGATGATTTCCTACTTCTTTATATGAGTTTGGTGTTATCCTTTTCTTTTCGAGGAAGGGAATTAACATCTCTTTTCTACTAGCCTTCTCAGACTCCAGATTGATCTCTATCAAATCTGGTTAAACACATTATAGGTCACATTTGAAACAAGTACTTTGGAAATGTTAAGGGCTTACCATTGGGATGGCTTATTCGGGATTGATGACTTGATGGACCAGGCTGTAAGCTCTCCGCATCCTTTGAGGGCAGGCCTAAGGATAACTGAAGATCCAACTTTGGCTTCTTTGAAGCAGGCGGATTATTAGCCTCATCACCTGACACCTCGCGTGCTGGCACAAGAGGCCATGGCTCGTATTGACTTTCGCTGCCTCCGTCACCGTCTACAATGGCTCCATCTGCAATAGATACAATATTCAACAACCGATTTGCCATATTTATCGTTGAGAAATTTTCAGACTGACCGAATAGCATTAAGGTTTTTGAAGGCTTCCTTGGTCCTATGTTTGGAAATAAAAGTGGTTTATGCTCTTCATGCTCTGCACACACAACTAATCAATACGATTTGACATTGAAGCAAGAGACATGAATCAATGAGTTTACCTTGGCAATTTTCCTCCATTGGAGCTAAACCTGAAAAGTCACCATGATCCCATCTCATTGCTGAAAGTAAACATAAGTGAGCCCAGGCCACCACCAGTCCAAATTTGCAGAAGTATGTCATCTTCAAATTTTTGGAAAGGTGATCTTTTGAAAGCGAGGGGGGCGGATGGTGACTGCAAGCTCTAGCCTTTTATTAATCTGTGGTTGCAGTTGAGTACAAAACGTTTACTCAGTGTAGAATTTGACATCACACATTGTGTTCAACAGCTTCAACCTCGAACTCAATACATGTCCCTGCGAGGAGGTCACGATTTAAGGAAGGTGCCAAACCCTCGCAGTGACTTGTTTCTAAGCGAGAAGGTCCCTTGTTGTTCTAAAACTGACAGCTCACCCTGCCCCCGCCCGGCCCCAATAGGGTCATGCAGTAAGAGCTTCGCAGGGTTTGTATCCAGGGGGGGTTGTTGTCAAGTTTTACCCTTGGCAGATGACTGTGGGCGTTCATCAGGAAAAACGATGCAATACAGAGATCAAGTTGCCAAGGATTAAAGCCTTGGGAGGCAAAGGGGGGCAGAGTGCATATACCATCCCTCATTTAGTTCTGAGGTTTCCACTAGGTTGATGGTGCTTCACCCAAGTCCTCTTTGATTGTAAAATGACAGCAATCAAATAGGAAGCAATAAGATAACATTTGTGCAATTACAGCACTTGCAAAATATTCTTCACAATGATATCATAATTTGTCTGCCATGAGAATCTGGGCCAACATTTATCATGTGCACTTTGGCTTATCCTGTGATTCTTTCAAGACTCTGAAAGCAGAAATAACTTGTAACAGCAAGGTGAGCTGTTCTGGGTTAACAGAACTCGAATTTGCAGTCAAAAACATGCTGGTGAGAGTAAAACTGTCAAAATTGTATCCTATATTGATGAAAGGAAGAGAAACCTGTTTTTTAAGGAGCATGGAAAATATCAGCAACAAGGAAAAATTGCTTTAAATTTGAAAATTTTGTTTTGAGCATGGTTTACAAAAATCTTTGAAAAAATTCTTTATGAATTCCTTGAAGAAAAATTATTCACTGTGATTATGTACTGGTATTACAAATGATTTTAATCCTTGCGTAACATGTTTTATATGAGACCCAAGCTTGTAGTTAATTTGACTGACAATATTGAAATTTGTGAGGTTTTCCTTCCAGGGAATGATTCTGTTTTCTTGAAGAATTTTGGAGTATTCTGAAGTTTTTTTGTATGAACTGTAGAACAATTTGGAGCTCATGCTCATAATATAGTGGAAAAACCATGTGTCGTTCTCAAAAATAGCCATATACTTCTTATGATTCTGGTTCTTGTAATAATAACCAAGTATATTCACTACAATTTGGCCTATAATCAAATCAACTTGTTGAATAATCATTTTATCATGATTCGTTGCCATTGGACTGACTGTGAATCTGTCTGAATTTTCATCTAAAGTAAGTGCATCTAGAACCAGCTTGACAATTCTATCATTAATCATGTTATCATCATCAATCTCATATTTATTGCTTTCCTGACTATCTCTTGAATTTTTCCCTTTGAATTCAGAAAAACAAGACATGAAAAACATTTGAATTGATTTCTGCTCATTGATGTGATAGTCCTCAGTCAATTCACATCCAAAGGAGTTAAGGGTCTGCTCATTGAGCACCCAAGTGATATCAAATATTTGATTCAATAATTCAAAGATCATCTCCTCAGATGATTCCTGAACTTTCAATATTACTACTGTTGATGAATATGTCTGAGAGAATTTAATGAGGTAATTTTTAACTTCCTTGATTATAATTTCAGATAATGGCTGAAAAGATTTATTGAAGTTTTTCTTTTGACTTAACTTGACCCTTGATATCCATGCCCATCTTTCTTCCACTTGGTTCTGACTGTTAAAATCAATGGTAATCTGAAGCTTCAGCATCTCATCTATATGTTTTTCTTGGTATATTGGCTTCATATAGTGGGAATTCACATAATGAGAAACATTTGGTGCTAAATTGAAAAATCCTTCAAGAGAAGTCTTTTCATATGACATCAGAAAGTGGGGTTCCATCCTAGAATTTTGTTCCTTGTATTCCTTTAATTGTTTAAAATCTCTGTGTTTCATCATGTTTTCAATGTTGGTAAGCTGATAAATAAAATCAAAATCCGATGAAAAAACATCTTCCCATTTCTCTTTTACTATCCTGTAATAAAAAGCTAGAAAAGTTACAACAGCTTCATTAATCAGAATATTTGGTTTTGATACCAAAATGGGATCTTTAGTCAATACATGCTGGTATAATTGGTATGCAATTATATCAGACTCTGCATTGACTGCTGTGATGACTTTCTGATATATGTTCATTTCATTAATGCCTAGCCATTCTGGATTAGCAGTGCCTTTGGTTTGGAGCATTGATCTTTTTCCCTTGTACTTCCTCAGAAACCTGAGAAACCACTCCTGAAGTTCACTTTGCTGTTCAATATAATCAATTCTTAGTTCAGATGTCCCAAAAATGTGCAATATTTGAGAATTTATTGCCCACAAAAGCCCAGCAATTTTCTTCAATCTCAGCTTCTTATTCTGATATTCAAACATTTTGTCACATGTTTTTTTGGATAAAGCAATTTTGGTACTAAGGTATGCAGTCATCAGCTTTTTCATTAATGGTTCTAAATAATCTTCTAATTCATTGCCCACTGATCTTTCAAAATGAGTAAAAATGATTGAAACCCAAGCCCAAAATTTGGATTTTGATTCAGGTCTTAAGCCTCCTATTGGAAGATTTTCCTTGTTTTTTCCTAGATTGGTTTGTGTCTGATTTAAATTATTGTTGGGATTACTGGACCTACCCTGTTCAATTGCTTCAAAACCTACAACACCGCTTTGGTTCTGAGAATGTTTCTCCTTAACTGAATTAGTTTTATCATCATCTTCTAGACAATTTCCATATCCTTTATGTGAATTGGATGTCATACGTTTAACATCATTAGAGCAAATAGACCCACTTGCTTGACTAGACTTTTCCAAAAAAATATGAATCTCTATAAGAGCAACAAATGGGTCAGTTGAATCTTTCTCTCCTACCTGACCTTGATTATAAATGTTAGGCCGGCTTACCACTCGGATGGCTCCTTGGGGATTGATGAGATGATGGGCTCGGCTGTAAGCTTTCCGCGTCCTTAGTAAGACCCAAGGATAACTTGAGATCTAACTTGGGCTTCTTTGAAGCGAGTGTATCATTAGCCTCATCACCCAAGGCTGAGATCTCGCGCGCTCGCGCAAGAGACAATAGCTTATAATGGCTTTCGACAAACTCGTCACCGTCCACGCTGGCTCCATCTGCGATAGACATATTACTTTAGTCAACAAACAATCTCTCAGAATGCCCATTCCTATAATTATTGTCTAGAGAAATTTAGACTGACCAAAGAGCATTGAAGTTTCCAATGGCTTCCTTGTTCCCATGTTTGGGAACAAAAGTGGTTTATGCTCTGCATGTAAAACTAATCAATAAGAATTGAAATGAGACCAAGTGGCAAGAGATATGAATCAATGAGGTTACCTTGGGCTTGGCCATTTTTAAATATTAAAGGTGTATCCAAAAAGTGATCAAGGTCGTCTTTCATTGCTGACAGGAAACACAAGTGAGCCAAGGCTACCACTAGACTAATTTTGTAGAAATTTGGCATTTTCAAACCTTTTCCAAAGGTAGCACTTTGGAAGCAAGAAGGTGGCGTATGGCAAATTCGTAAGTTGTAGCCGTGCACCGACCCTACCTTGACCTAAATCTTGAGAGGGTGATACATGGTGGAAGCTCCGCAGGGTCTGTATGAGACCGCAGAACGACGCCTTTGTGTTATCATCTGAAAAAAGAGTGGAATCAAGACTGACACATACCCATAGGGATTTGGAAAAAGGAGGTATCCTAGTTGTAGCAAACTTACCAACTGACATTCATAAAATATTTTGACATGATAGCCACTGTTGATCATATATTGAAACAAACCTCATCCAGGAAAATCAGAGTTGAATGAATACACAGAAGTGCAGCAAAGTAGTAATACAGAGTGTCTATCAGCTAATGTGAAATCTCTTACAATGCTTTGAAGAAAAAACGAAGCTTAATCTTTGAGCTCCTCTAATCATCATTTTTGTTGCATGTAACACAAGGATGAAGTAAACAACTGGGGAAGATGGGATTTGAAGAATATAACGAGTTTATACACTCATCAAAATTGCTGGGGGTTCATCACTGAGTGGGCAATAGCCTGGTCACTACCATGGAAGTTGTGCTCTATGAAGTATCAATTAGATGGTGTTGTTTGGGTGGGTTTCTTTTCGACTTGAACAGCTCTTGCGACTCATGTAGCATCGGAACGACCCCCGTGACTTGACGACAATGAAAGCAGTATCTAGTGGCCATCGTAGTACTACATATTCCAACATCATAAGAAGATAGAAACCTCATGGATGAACAAAGAGCTGTGTTCGAACGCTCGCGCCAACCTAATACACGAAAGGTGTGATGACCATCGGTCACTTGGAGCAGCCACTCAACAGACGTTCGACCCAGCAGAGTTCAAAGCTCAAATCGGCAACCACTACAACAAGCCATTGCGCTCAGTCTGATACCAAAAGTCTAAGCAGTCGGCTTCTCCTGACCTCGGTTCCCACTATTACCCTGAATGTGTTAGAATATGAGACACGGTCGTGCTGGAGCTGACTGCAATGGGTGGGTTTCCTCGAGACAAGTAGCGATACCAGGTTGGAGACCCAGGCACAAGTGGGCAAGAGACTGAATTAGGGGACCCAGGCATAAGTGTGTAAAAGATACGGCAACATATAAATTCATCTCACCTCAACGTTCATGAGAACCCCGTCACACTCACAATTCCTCACCCATCGATCCAAGAAAGAACTCCGTAAAATTCACAGTACATTATCATACCACCTTTGATTCATTATGACTACTTTTCAGAGACTTCAAGTCATCCAACTTGTCATAGCTCTTGTCATCACTCTCCATCCAGGCTCGGCGCTAGCTGGTCAAAACCCGGTAACCACCTTTTGTGATATATTTTTCTACCCCAGCGCTACTGAAGGCAAATATAGTAAGCATATATAGCTTGCATGTCACATTGACTTATCAAAATACTCACTGTAGTCTGTGAAAACATCTCTCTACTACTGGTAGTGTGCAGAACTACGCAAACCGTGAAGCTCAACCAGCACCAGCAATTCAAGTGCGCACTTGCTTCCTGTACAATCAATGGAGTTTCCTGTACGCTTTCAGCTTGATTATAATACGAGCCAGTGACACCAGCTGGCTTAAAGAAGCTTGACAGTGTTAATTTTTTCCTTTCCCATTATACGCAATTGCATGGGTTTTGTATCAGTGGACAAGTTTTCTTTCCGAAGTTGCTTTACTTACACTCAAGGTGACAAAACCAAACCAGTAGACACCAAAATTGCAATCACAAATGTACAGCCAGTACAATACCATATTGTCACTGATAATACTGGTACCTATCTTCGTGAGTCTTGTTCATAAATGATTTCATGGAGTCCTTTTTAATACAACTGCTTATGAGTGCAAACTGGTTGGTAGAGGTCTTGGGGTCCAATAAACTATGGCACCGATGCCCTACCAAAGCTACCCAACCAGGTGCAATTAATTGGGAAAGAGCTGGCGAGTCCTTCTTGGTTCAGAATCAATTTGGAACTCAAGAGCTGACAAACCACTTCAAAATCAACAGTGTGTACTGACTGCCCTTCCAGTTGACATGTCAATGGGTGACACCAGGAAAAGTCTATGCTCACTAGATGTCAGGTGACATCATGTTACATTTATTTACATTGATTGCTGCTCCCATCAGTCCCATGTAGATCCAGCTCTGTTGTAACCCAACTACAATGGCCCCTTTGTGTGATACAGGGGGCTGAGGCAGAGTTGAGCTGGATGTGCAATAGATAGAACAGCTAGCTTGATGTCACTTGTCATCAAGTGTTCATTGTTTTTCCCTGGTGTGACTGTAAGTTAAAATGTTTGAAGAATAAATTTTCAAAATAAGATCAAGCTACTGTCATTCAATCCCTTGTGTCTCTCTCCTCCATTTCAGTTTTTTGTTCATCATGATGATCAAATTCTCTGTCCCAACTGGCTTTTTTATTTCAAATTGCTCATTCCTCATGTGTTTCTGTTCTTTTTCTCATGTGTTGATTGTTTTTGCTTGTATAAACATTGTCAAATTTTTCAACTTAATGTGATTGCTAGTTGGGAGGAAATATTACCCCTCAACAAAATTGTGGCTGTGGATTAAGAGCAATCCACCACAATTTAAAACTTTAAACAAAATTATTTATTATGAAGAATCCCTTCCAGCTAGTGAATACCCTTACTGAAAGCGGTTCTTTCCCATAAATGAGGCTGTGTGATCCCCTTGGCCAGGAAAGATTTATCCAAGCTAACCAGTTCACTGCTTCTGGCGAAGGGTTCCAAACCAAACTGTGAAATCAGATATCTCAAACACTATCAGACAGCTTTAGGACCAAATTTCATCTTTCATGACCTTCCCTAGGGGTTTTAAACAACAAAATGCCATAAGAAGGAGCCATGTGAGGTGTGATCTGTCCTGTAATTTCCTCATAATGTACTGGTTATCTAGGTATTGAGGTCTGGATTGAAACCTTATTTCAGGTTTTGAGGCATGGTTCTTTTCCACTTAACGTACAGGTACTACAGCTATAATATGAGAAGAAAAACCATTGGGCCTGAATTTGCATGAGAAACTGGCACTGTTATATGAATAGGTAAAAAATGATTTATCCACAAAGGAATTTGCAAAAAATCACAAAAATGAAGCCTCATTTTTATGTAAATGGTTGTAAATTTAAACAAACAATTCAAATTAGTGTGCAGCAGTGTAGCCACCTTGTATTCCAGTGTATAGAAAATATGGGATGGGAGCAAAAAGATGAGATGCAGTACTGGGATGGAGTGATAAAAGAGAAATTGATTTTTTATTTTATTTTGAAGATCCTGGAAATTCTCCAGCACCAAGAAAAGAAAAATGGTCTGAAATCAAAAGTTTACTTTTGTACATTTCATACACACCATTAAAGATATTCTTTATAAATTCCTCAAAGAAAAGCTATTTCCTTCCATTATCTACTACACTTACCAAGTATTCTATTCCTTGATGACTATGTTTGTTATGTGAACCAAGCTTATTGTCAATTTGACTTAGAAAATTGGTATTTATAATCTTGTTCTTCCAGGGAATAATTTTATTTTGTTGGAAGATTTTGGAATATTCTGGTATCCTTTTGAATGTATTGTGAAACAATCTTGAGCTCATGCACATCAAATATTGAAAAAACCATTGATCCTCCTCAAAAAGAGCAAGATACTTTTGAAGATTCTGGTTCTTGTAATAATACCCAAGAATATTCACTGAAATTTGAGCCATAATCAAATCAACTTGTTGAATCATCATTTTGCTATGACTTTTTGCTGTGGGACTAACTGTGAATCTGTCTGGGTTATTCTGTAGAGTTATTGAATCTAGAAACAACTTGACAATTCTCTTGTGAAATATATCTTTATCATGTGTCCTATTTTTACCATCCTCCTGATTATTGGTTGAAGTTTTGGCTTTGGATTTAGAAAAACAAGATAAGAAAAACAGTTGAATTGATTTCTGCTCATCAATGTAATCATCTCCAAGTAGCTCACATCCAAAGTATATGAACAATTTTTCATTCAATACCCAAATGATATCAAATATTTGATCCATTAATTTGAAAATATTCTCCACAGATGAATCTCGAATTTTCAACATCATCTCTTGTGACGAATATCCTTCAGAGTAGTCTATGAGCTTATGCCTAACCTCCTTGATAATACTTTCTGATAATGGCTGGAAAGATTTGTCAAATTGTTTGTTTTTACTTGATTTTACCCTTGATATCCATGCCCATTTCTCTTCCACTTGGTTCTGACTGTCAAAATCAATCATAATTTCAAACTTTTGAAATTCATTTATATGGCTCCCTGGGAATATTGGTCTCATAAAACTAGAAAATTGGGAATTTTCACATTGAGTAAACTTTGGTTTTGCATGGAAAAATCCTGCAGGTGAAATGTTTTCATATGAGATCAGAAAGTGAGGTGTCATTCTTGAACATTCTTCTTTGGATGGCTGTAAATCTTCAAGAGATTTATGTTCCATCATTTCTTGAATTTCCGTTGTGGTGGTCCAGGCTGTTGTGCGCAATAAAACTGCCAAAACCCTACCTTATAACCTAAACCACTTAAATATATGAACATATTATTGCATAATCAGAATCTACATACAATTTTACCCATAGTCACACACTACAACTATACCCTTATCTCTATTAGTTAAGAAGATAATCCAATTTAAAGGTTAAAGCCATACCATAACTAGTCATTAATTAGTATT